CAGTATCGCCACTCTCACCACTGGTCCTGAAGGGATCATCGGCCCTGGATTCCCTGTGTTTCCAGTTCCTATCTGTACCAGTGTACATCCTCTGGTCTAGCCAGACTTGTAAGGTAGAATTAGGATCATGATAGTGAGGGTGGGCAGGCGGAGGAAGCATTTAGGAACTAGAGGATCCCAAGAAGTTATGCAGAAAGACAAGCACAGAAGAAAAACACTCAGAGAAAGAGTCGTCTGAACTTTAATTAAATATTGGAATCAAAGGGAATGGGAACAGATGAAACCTTAGTAATAAAGAAGTGATGCATGCACAGAATGAATAGATTGATGAAATGATGACTGATCTATAATTGATGGAGAACCTATTTGGGGGGTTTCCAATAAATGCATCAAAGTTTCCTGCAACTCCTACAAATATCCAAATGCACAATTGTTTCTAAAATTCTGGCTCCTTAAAATGCACAGGTGGAATGCAACCAAAGCAAGCCGTTTTGTTCCCGGTTTACAACAATTATTGAGGCTGTTTGGTCCCAGATTCATAGTTAGCAGTCAGAATAAGATCCTTTCAAATGACTTCCTTCCCATTTTAACTTTATAAAGCAACTTCACATAATTTTACACTTCAAATACTTCTAAATCAATTCCAAAAACTGAAGGTGAAAATGATGAACCTCAAATACTATGCGTTAGAACAGATTCCTGTTTGAACTGTTCATTATATATAACTGAGTTTATTACACCTCCTTCCATACACATGGATAGTACTATATAAGACCTCTGTAAAAACCGACAGTGTGGTTTGTCTACACTCTAAAAGAGCACAGAAGGCTCTGCAGAGCAAAACCGTATCATCGATCCATCTCAACTAAAGACCCAACGTGGGGCGCTGTCATCAACGAGGTCAAGATAAGAAGAATCTAGGTAGCCATGTCTGTGTCTCTTTTCAAATAATTGAAGGCCACTTGTCTCTGGTGTCCTGAAGAAGGCCAGTGTTCAGTGGCCCTTGGCTAATGGGTATTGCTTTAGCATACCACATGCCCATTAAGTGCTAGCATTTAGGAGCATGCAATAGCAGCTAATTTTAGCTATGCAGTCATGGTATTAATAGTGTTTAATTATGTCAGGTGCATTGAGATATTTTAAATGTTAAAGACAAAGCAGAAAGATTTGTGCTCCTTAGCAACCATTATAGTACAGAATGTTCAAAGCTGCAATCACACTCATGAGGCAAGGGAATTGGTTACGAAATGAGGGCAGCAACCTGTGTGCATGCTGGAGAAAACGTGACACCTGGCCCTACTGGTTTCCAAAGTTTGGTTGCTGGCTTAGACCCTTTCTTTATTTTCAAACTCGGACTGTTTCACTTCAACATTCTGTGCCAGTTTTCCGCCTTTGGGACCGTAAAACGCTATTAAAATAATAAATGTGTGTGTGATTTTTTCCCC